TAAATCAAATTCCCTTGATGAGATATTTTGCAAACCGAGATTATTGCTAATAGATTACTTGTAAACTTTATGAATACAATTTTTACCCTTCATTCAGTATGTGCACAAAAATACACGGATTTACAAATAATATTTCCACTAAAATTTCATTCGTAGTTATAATAGGTAAAATTGCACCTTTATAAATTATTTCCATTGATTTTGAATTGATTCCAAATTTAGGTTTTCCAAATCTTATTGTTATTAATTAGTTTTTGTGCTTTTGTTATAATATAAGTAATATGTGGTTTCCATGACAACTTAGAGTCTAATATAATCCCAAGATGTTTGGCGGCGTTGACAATAGCGTCGACTTCGAGGGCAGTTATGTCGCCGACAAACACAGATATCTTATCACACAATGAGTCCATCGAGTCGTCCATTGAATCATATGTTGATTGTTTCAGTGGTTGTATTGACGTCAATGTCGTGTAGTGGTCGCCGCACTGGTATTCCCGTCGCTTCTCATTCAATGGCATCGATAGATAACGAGCTGTAGGTGCCCTACAAATCATATTTACTAAATCTAGTTATTATATAGTTGTAATAACCCCTCTCATCATTGTAAGCCATTGTATGTCTGATGAGTTTGTTGATTAATGAATGTAGCATTTATTAATTTACACAATTATAATACAAAGAGTATATAATGAATGGCATATAAAACAACTTTATAACTGTTTTGTTTTTATAAAACAAACTTTGTATATTATTTAAACAATTCAAACAATTAAAACAATGTTATGTTTGCTAGTTTGTAACTTAATAGTTAAATTTATTTGCTGTTGAATCTAATAAGCTTATACATTTTGTCTATTAATGCTATCGACTGTACTATGGCAAAGCATTATCCAGATAAATTATAATTTGTGATTAAAATAGTTGTTTGGACCATGTAGAATATACCTTGTTAATTTTCCCGCTAACGAAAGGCTTTACTATTTTTAAATTAATTTAAAAGTTATCTACTAACCATTAGAGATGAGAGGTGGAAAGTTTCTTTAGGAGTCAATTAATTTCTTGCCATCGGAGGGAAAATATGACGGCAACGGCAATAAATGTTAGCAAATTGTTGCCTGGTTTGGGCGATATTAGCGAAATCGTAATTGGCGTGGGAATGCCTAATGTGTACATAAAATCCATTGACAACACATGTTTACTAAATGTTTGAATGCCATATAAATGATATGTCTTCATATTTGCAACATTGTTGATTGATTTAAAGTGAACAATCAACTCAAAACATATATCAATTAGTGTCCGACATCGATACGGCCACCCGTGCGGCTTTCGCACATATACTAAAGAGTTTAATGTCTATACATGTTTATTAATATCTATGTATTAAAATTTAAACAATTCAAGAAAAGCAAACCCACTGTTCAGTTGTCCACCATAGTTACCCGTGGCCAAGACCTCGCCCACCGGTACACTAGAGTCACAACTGGTCCATGCCTACGATATTTTAAAGTGAAAACTACCCGTTCACTGTAAACAATTTAAAAATAATTAAATTTTTGATTTATCGAATTTAGTGTTTATTTCGGTTAAATTGGGGGCCAATTTTGTCGGTAGTCTTGAACCAGAAACAAAATAAATTTTTAAGGCTCCTGCGCTCCATAAATGAAGGCTCTGGCGCTTAAAAACACGGCTTTAATTGCGTTTAAAAGTTGGCAATAATTTTCTATTTCTTGCCAAAGAAAGGAAAAATAGATTTTCGGACAGAAAGCAAAATAAATCTCGGAGGCAATAGTGGCCAACTCTACTAACAATTACTAAAGCCACACTAACACAACGACTGTAACGTTACACGCAATAGAAATCTCTATGCTTTTAAAAGGCTGGTTAATGCCTATGTGTTAACTTTTAAATTAATTTAAAAATAGTAAAACCTTTCGTTAGCGCGAAAAATTCACAAGGTATATTCTACATGGTCCAAACAACTATTTTAATCACAAATTATAATTTAACTAGATAATGCTTTGCCGTAGTGAAATCGTAAGTACATTTTAAAAATCACTATCAATTTAACACTTATAAAGTAAATATTATATTTTAAAACAATTTTATAAATTATTTATTTTAATAATTAACTCTAACCGCTTACCTAATTAAACCTGGTCACTCAAATATTAAGGTATATTTTAACTATTAATAATGTTCTATTATAATAAAAACTATGGCACTTAAAGTTTACTATGGTAACTATCAGGTTACGTTTATAAAATATTTGATTATTTATATTTTATTATCAAATAAATTAAGCTCATTAATTCAAATATTTTAAGAGTAAACAGATTTTTACCAAGGTGACCATGAAATGCATAATACTAAATATCCAAAAACTAGTTTTATTTATTTTATTATTTTGAATTAATAGAAATATAATTTTTTATCATATAACATTTTGCATTAGTATAATATTTTATTCTATAGAATTTCATATTAACCATAGTAACTATCATTCATTTAGTTTTTAACTTTTATAATTAGAAGTATATCAATATATAAGGTACAGTAAAGTCGCTAGTTACAAAATTTAAATTACAAAAAAAATATTTCAAATTAGTATATTCTAGTTTTCACTCAATTAGCATCAAACAATTGCTTGGTATTAAAGGTATTAAATTTTTTTCTAAAATTATAATAATTTATTATTTTGCATGGTACTGATAATAAATAACTAGTTATAATTATATATAGTTATTTATTATATAAATTATATCTATAACAAATTCTACATTAACTAATATACTGAAACTTTTTCACCTAGATGCCTACTGTTTACCATTACACTACGCGCGCAAATGCCGAGAAAATCCAAAAAGACCGGGTTATAAAAGCTAGTTCAGGTGCATTCGGGTACGGCGTTTACCTGACCGCAATACGCCCAACAAATAGTGACAAGGATATTTTGCTCAACAATTACGATGACGGTAACACCATGCTCAATAATCCAAACTACAAGCATAAAACAGAAGTGCATTTCGCATTTGATGCTGATGATATCGGTGCCACCAAGGTACCTGGTACGGCAATCGTGATGTGTGGATTGTGTCGCATGATGTAAAGTGGTGAACCATGGTGATTGTTTGTATTATTATACAAAGTATTCAAAATATTCTTAAAATGTAATATTGAATATACGTTACTTTTTTAATAACAAAAAGTATTTCCAATATAATTAGTTGATGAAAGTTTTTATATTATTTTTAATCAATTATCAATAAATTACTTATAAAATTATTTTCCCGATGTCTATCAGGTACCTGGTCAATAAATATTCTATGTTGCAATAAATAAATTATAAGTGGGAATTTATTTAAATAAACTATAATATTCATTGAAATATTTGAGATTATTACAAATGATAATTTTAACATACTATACTAAAAATTATTACTACCATTACTGTAAGATGCACCATATATAGTTATATTAAGTAAATTGATGACAAAAAGTACCATGCCTCTTTATTACCATTTACCTGAACAATTAGGTTTATCAATAAGAATTTAACAAGTTCTAACAAATAATATTATTTTAATCATTCATTAATTTACATTATAATTTGTTCATGGGAAAGCATGTCAGAATAAGTTTATTATAAATTTCAATGTCCTTTTCTAAAAACAGGCAAAATATTACCCGGTCAACTTGCGGGGCATATTGGCTAGTATGTAACCATTTACTGACTGTCCCTATAGCTACCTGGGCAGCCTTTTCATTGGGATAGCCATAAATACCGGTTGATATACAGGGAAAGGCTATCGACTTTAGGTTATGTTCAGCCATTAAATCCAATGAACTCTTATAACACGACTCCAGTTCCTTCGGGTTCTCACCTACCGGGCCCACAGTATGGATAATATCTGTTGCGAAATAATTTATTATTTTAATGAAGGTAATTTTAGCATTGTATTTATAAATACATTTAGCTGGCAATTTATATCCACCGGTAATTTTACTGCTACCCGTTGGACAACCACCTAATGTCTGTGTCTCAGACTGTAGTAACTTAGCACCGGCAGCTTTATATAAGGCACCGCACACTGCAATATGGTTAATATAAAAATTAAAAAATTAAGTGAGCTATTTAGATATTTTTAAGTTCACAATTTAGTAATTTATTATATAATTTTTATTATTTTATAAAATTATACTAATATTAAATCTCTAGAGATCACCAATTGATATCCCTGATAATAACTCTCTCTCTCTCTCTCTCTCTCTCTCTCTCTCTCTCACTCACTTACTCACTCACACACAATTCATACCCAACTCAAATTAAATAAACAACCCACCACCAAACTCGT